AGCTTTGAGTTCCTCAGATGTTACTCCTAGCTCTGCCCACTTATTCCGGATGCTGCACGCATTAGCGCATAGCATAACTAACTTTTCCGGAATGGGGAATTCTAAGACCCCTACTCTTGCTTTTGTCTCGGGCGCAGCACCCGAGCTGTGACCCCGTTTTTTGATGGGTCAGTGTTGGTCGTTGTTCTGCGACGTCTAAGTTCGGAATCCGTTGGCTCTACCATGGATGCCATCTGCAATGAAGTGAACGGTTGATCGATTTTCTCTTCATCAACACTCCATGACTCCCTGATTATTGGTTCCTCTTTATTGAGAACCAGTAGCGTGTTGCACCGAGACTATGCATTTACCCTAACAACCTTGATTGAGGCTACTTCAGCACGCAACGTGTGCAGTTCACTCTCGATGTGGTGCAGGCTGTTACCCAGAATACCCTGGGGTCCTTTGGCGATGCGCGGATTTACTGTCTTCGGTTTAGATTTGACATTCTTAGCATTTTGTTGCAATTGACGTGTTCCTGGAGCAGGTCTGCCAGGTGATTCTTTCACCACCTTGGCATAAGTTTTGGCTGCCACCTCTGCAGTCATTTCTTCCATAATTTCCACTCGTTTTGTCTCCGTCAGTCTTGGTGACTTTCCGGGGACAGAACTTTGAGCTATATGCTGGCGTGCGATCGTTTTGCAACCGTTGCACATCCATTCAAGTCCATTGTGCAAAGCTTAGATCTCCGTAGAGACCCCTGTACACTTTTAGTGAGCCCATTTTTTTACATGCGTCGCACATTAAACCACTTACCACCTTTTTACCGCACACTTCATTCAGACGCGGGAAGTTGACACGTGGCATATTTTGAAGAAAAATGCGCAATGCAGGTGAACTGATAAATACAGGACACACCAAATTTACTGTATAACACAAAACGTGAAAAGAGCGTCAGTAATTACTAAAACACGGTTTACAGAGCTAGTTTACAAAAACCTTTCAAAAACAGTATAACTTAAGCTAGATATTTCACTATCAAGCTTTCTTTTAAAAGTAAAGTAGTAAAACGGATTGTATAGTTCGCTTTACCGTACTTTTTAACACACTGCAGTGACAATTTACGGTGAGCAAACTACCACCGTATATGTAATGCGGCCTTCTATGAGGTCACAGCAAATACACTTGACAAATGCTCAGACAGATTTTCTGTCAGTAAAATGTAAAATATCGTAGGATATTCCACGTAAATAGTACCAAACGTATTCTCAACGAGAGCACTTCAGAATTTCAAACCGCGCGCTAACATACCTCAAGTATAGTATAGGTTCAGTTCAGTCGGTCAGTCAGTCAGTTTGCACAGGACAGGAGATGGCCACGGCTAATCGAGCGTCCAGAGTTCCTTCGGTAGTTAGCCACGTGTTGGCCCCTACCACTGCGAGTATTCTATATTAGAGTTATGCGCGTTTCCTTCTCGTACCAATCGTCTCCGCCTCTGCAAGGGAATAGAAAAGAAAAAAATATCTTCTCCCTTGTTCAAGCGAGAGACCTCATATTTGGAATCGCTCCCCTATTTGGGTTGGTTAGTAAATGAGAAAACCTATAACTTCTACCAAACCTTAAACTATGCATCTACTTCAGGAAATAAGTTCAACCAGCGTTTATCAAGCTCCTTTTTGAAAGCATGTACGCTCCCCAGCTCCACCATCTCCTGTGGTAAATTATTCCATGAGTTGACGACCCTGTTGCTGAAGAAGTTTGAACGCACCACTAGTCTCGTGCGCAATTTCTTCAGCTTGAACATGTGCCCCTTAGTATTGCTGTCCATCCTCTCGAAGAACACTGCTTGATCCGTCCCTGATAATAATTTTGAATGTATCAAGTCACCTCGGAGTCTTCTTCTCTAAACGAAGAAGAGCCCATGGTCCTGCAGTCTGCTTATACGACTTACCTCGCTGTCCTTCAATCATCCTCGTGGCTAATCGTTAGACCCCCTCTAACAAGCGGCGTTCTCTTTAAAGAAGAGAGTCCAGGTTTGTATACAACACTCCAAATGCGGTCGAACAATGGCTTTGTATGGAGGTAAGAATACCTCCAGTTTCCTACATGTTAATGCCAACCTCAATCTTAAAAGCTCTCAACGGGAACGGTGAGCCGCTGCGGCACACTGTTCTGCCCATTTGTAGTCTGCTGTCACTATGCTTCCTAAGTCTCTAGCTTTCTGCGTCGTTCCTAGTGAAAGACCGCCGTGACTACTCCCCACAATCAGCTCTTCGTCTCCAGTGGTCAAGACATGACTCTTTCCTATGTTGGGAGGCAGATCCCAAGTACTTGACGACTTGAGCGCTTCTCCTATGTCCCTCCCTAAGTCCTCTCTCCCATTTGATCCTACTACCTTGACGTCATCTGCAAAATTATAGCTAGACGATCCTAGGCGATCAGGCAGATCATTGATGTAGAGCAAGAATAGGAGTGGACCTAGAACTGATCCCTGAGGAACACCACTGGCAATATTTTCCTTTGGCGAGTTCGCTTCTCCGGCTCCGAACCACGAAGTTCCTATCGGCCAGGAAAGCTGTAAGCCACCTGTGGATGTTATCCTTTATCCCTAAAGCATGTATCTTGGCCAAAAGTAAGCGATGACATACTGATTCAAATGCTTTGCTAAAGTCCAGATAGCATACATACACTTGCTTACCCTCATCTTATCTCGCTGTGACTTCGTCTAAAAAGTGCAAGAGATTGCTCAGACACGATTTATCCTTCAGAAACCCATGCCGTGCCGCAATCAGCAACCGGTACTGAGTGAGGTATTCGCATAAGTGGGCTCTAATAATTCTCTCAAGCACTTTGCACAAGATGCTTGTGAGACTCACTGGGCGGTAGTTTTCTACCTTATGTCTCGACCCTCCCTTGTGCATGGTGACCACAGTTGCTGTTTTCCAGTCTTGTGGTATCCTGCCCTGTTCTAGAGTTTCGTTGAATAGGTGTCATAGTGGGCCCCCTAGAACCTTAGCTATGTGTTTAACTAAGGCTGGGTGGATGCCATCTGGTCCTGAGGATTTTGTGGGGTTGAACTGACTAAGAGTCCTGCTCACCTGCTCCAGCCCCACGTGTATTTCGGGGATATCCGGTCCATCAGTGCGGAGGTCAGGCTGTGCAGTGACGAATTGGTCTATCCTGTGCACGCTTCTGAAGTATTTCTTAAATCTCACTGCTTTATCCATCTCTCGGGCTACTACTTCTTCATCGTCCAATATCAGGGGCCCTACCTTTCCACTGAGCCCTCGCTTGGATTGGACATAACGGTAGTACCTCTTTGGCTGGTATTTAGCACAATTTGCCAACGTGAGCTCATATTGTCGTTTGAGCTCGCGTTGAGTTGCCACTGCTTTGTTTCTATCCCTGGTGTACTGTGCCCAGGATCAGTGGCTGCCCGTTGATCTATAAGTGTGTCAGCTCCTATTTCTTCGCTGTATTGCTCTCCTAATTGCTGGGCTCCCCCAAGGTGGTTTATTCTTCGCTGCCCTGGGTTTTACGGGAGCAAATTCATTCTGCAGAAGCAAGATATTTGCCTTGATCCGGCCCCAATGCTGGTCTACAGAGTCGCTTTTGTGGATAGGGGCCCACACTAGCTCCGCAGCTCGGGCCTTCAGCTTCGTCGCATCTATCGTCCAGTAGTTTCTGGACATCCTAACATTACTCCTACGATGCATGAGACTTAGTGCTGTGGTGAGAACGACGTGGTCGCTTTTACCCAGCG